CTCACCGTTCATCCATGGATTCAGTGGGTCTATTCTACTTGTGACTAACCAACAAGACTCTGGCCATTATTTCTAATATTCAAAGTAAGACACATTTTTACAAACAGGGCTGTGTCGACTATTTTCATATTTTAATATTCAGGCTAAAATTAACTACTGGGGGGATTGCTCTATTCTCTGTGGGGTTTTTTTTTTAAATAAGACATCGCTTTCCCTCCAATCTTATTTGATGTCTTTACTCCCCTTTAGTTTCTGTTGCTTTGGCTCAAGGAGGCCTGGTGGTGCAGTGGTTAAATGCATGTACTACAGCTACTCACTCACAAACCACAAGGTTGTGAGTTCAATACTAGCCAGGGGCTCAGGGTTGACTCAGCCTGGTATCCTTCCAAGGTCACTAAAATGAGTACCCTTAGCGTACACATTGTAAACTGCTTAGGGAGTGTTTAAGTGCACTGATAAACAGTATAGAAATGTACGTGCTATTACTATTACTATTCCTCTCCCAACTTCTTGTTAATCTTATTTCTTCTTCATGGTTTACCAACATGGATGACTACAGCAAATCAGGGATCACATAGTGGAAATGATGTCATGATGCTTTCTGACCAACCCTATTGTTATAATTCATTTTGAGGAGAGAGAGAAGCAACATGAGTAACTAAAGGTCCAGAGGTCAAGAAGACAAGGAATATGTGAGTAGTCAAGAAAACTGAACAGAGGGAAGCACAGAAGAAAAGTCAAGGTTCAGATTCCATTTTTGAGAAAATAAGGCAGAGTCTCTGAGTTATTTTGGCTGTCTTTCACATGGAGTGAGTGATGGGTCTTGCTGCCAGAGTCTGAAGAGTGTTTGCTTCCAGACTTATCTAGAGAAGCTGAATATTCAGTAGGAGCAGCTGGGCAAGTCCAATTGTGCTACAGATGTGTTGAATCCTCCCCAAATATCCTTGCCCTGCTGATATCTCGGAGGCAGGCACAACACCTAGCGGGCTTAAATGATGATATCACATAGGGCAAAGGCATAGCAAGAGGCATTTTTTTTTGTTTTTGTTATTGTTAGTTGCCTTCAAGTCAACTTCAGCCCATGGCAACCCTATGAATGAAAGATTTCCAAGTCACCCTATCCTCAGCTGCTCAGCACTTGAAGATTCATGGCTGTGGCTTCTCTGATTGAATCTATCCATCTGGAATGTAGTCTTCCTTTTTTCCTATTGGCCTCAATTTTACTAAGCATTATTGTCTTTTCTAGTGGGTCCTTTCTTATGATATAGCCAAAATATAATAACCTCAGTTTTGTAATCTTTGCTTCAATGGACAGTCCAGGTTTGATTTGTTCTAGGATCCATTTATTGGTATTTTAGTAGGCCACAGTATTTGCAGATCTATTCTTAAATGAATTAATATTATTTCTATCAGCTTTTGTCACTGTCCAGCTCTTCCATCCACCCATAGAAATGGAAAATATGATGACATGGACCATCCTAACTTTAGTTTTCGGTGATATATTTTTGTACTTCAGGATTTTGTCTTGTTCTTTCATAGCCACCCTTCCAAGTCCAAGTCTTCTTCTGATTTCTTGACTGCTGTCTCTGCTTTCTCCATATTATCAACGTCATGGCTTAGGAAATGTCAAAAAGGAGTGGGGCTTTCTTCTGCAGCCAAAAGGGTCCCCTTAGGCACATTCAAGCAAATGCACATACACTTGGGAGTACTTTGCTCAGCCCCAAATATTGACAAGACACCACAGTCTTTGGGCTCAGGGAACCATCCAAAACAGCTGTTTTGCTGTAAGGAAGTATGTCATGTGGATTAATTGGTGCAAACGGGTGTAGGTATTTATTCAGTAATCAATCACAGAGAGAAAAGGCTTTCAAATTTCAGCTGGAAGTTTTTATTTTTATCCTTCTTTTCCTTACTCTTGGCCTTTTTTTGATAAAAAAAAGAAGGGGGAAAACTTGCAATGTGGAAAGCAATACACGGCTGCCTAGTTCTCATCAAAAGCCGGCAATCACAGCTAAATCAGCATGCAAAATGCCACTCAACCTTGGGCCTTTATTAAAATTTGCTGGGACTCAATTTGAGATAGCGATCATTCTTATTAAAAAGCAAAATGTAAGATAGTTTTTTTTATATAAATCTCTGGATGGAATGGAATTGTTAATCAGCATAGACTGATGTGATTTCTCTGTTGCAAATCCTGCCGAGGGCTCAGAACTGGCATATTACCATAATTCCTAGGCTAGAGCTGGCAGCTTGGAAGGAAAGGAGGGGGGAGGTAAGAAATAAAGACCCACAAGAGTCTTTAAAATACTTAAGCGGAGCTGGAAATCACAGCAAACAGCACAGTCCAGGAATGGCTAGTGAAGTTTCCTTCTGGGTTATATAATCAGTGTTGTCTACTTTCCATATCTTTTGGGTTCATCATCTAACTATGGGGGTGAGGAGTGTACACACACACACACACACACACACAGAGAGAGAGAGAGAGAGAGAGAGAGAGAGAGAGTTTACAGATAACAGAATAATAGAAGAGCTGGAAGGGACCAAAAAGATCAGCTAGTCCAAGCCCCTGCCATGCAACTGAAACACAACTGCAACACTCCTGAAAGATGCCTATCCAACCTCTGTTTAGAGTCCACCATCTTCTGAGGCAATCCATTCCACTTTCAAACAGATCTTGGAGAAAACAACTTCCTAATGTTTAGGTGGAATCTCTTTTCTTGTAATTTGAATCCATTGGTTCATGGTCCAGTTTTTTGGGCAGCAAAAATCAACTTTGTTCCATCTTCTTAATGATATCAGTTCAGATATTTAAATATGTCATCTCTCAGTCTTCTCTTCTCCAAGCTAAACTTTCCCAGGTCCCTGAGCCATTACTTGTATGTCTTGGTTTCCAGATATTTAATTGAGTGAGTGACATTCCCAGTATCTGAATAGTGTTTACTTCCTCCTTATCTAGAGTAGCTGAGTATTCCGTAGGAACAGATGGGCATCTCCAGTTATGCTGCAGGTGTGCTTGAACCCTTCTGAAATATTCTCATCTTGCTGATATCTCAGAGACAGTCATATGGGGCTTATCAGTGACATCACATATGGCAAAGCCATAGGAAGAGACATGTGTTGTTGTTAACTACCTTCAAGTCAACTTTGTTTAAGTGGAATCTGGTTCATGGTCTAGTCTCTTAAGCAGCAGTTTTTTGAACAGCAAAAAACAACTTTGTTCCATCTTCTTAATGACATCACTGCTGATATTTAAAGATGTCACCTCTCAGTCTTCTCTTCTCCAAGCTAAAAATCCTCAGGTCCCTGAGGCATTCCTTCTATGGCTTGGTTTCCAGATGTTTGATAATCTTGGTCACTCTTTTCTTGGTGTATTGTAGCTTGTCAACATACATATATGTGCACAGACATACATACAGTGGGCCCTTGGTATCTGCTGGGGTTTGGTTCCAGGACCCCTTGTGGATACCAAAACCCCTGGATGCTCAAGTCCCATTATATATAATAGAACAGTCAAATGTTGTCCCTTGTGTAAAATGGCAAAATCAAGGTTTGCTTTTTGGAATTTATATATTTTTAAAAATACTTTAAAGCCATGGATGGTTGAAGACATGTATAAGAAATCCATGGATATGGTGGGCTGACTGTATAACTTTCCCCAAAGGTTCCCATACAAAGTTCTGAATCCCCTCCTCGAAACTGAATCAGCATGTTGGATGGTTCCTTAAACACTCATCCTAAAACTCAGAGAAGATGCATCACCACACTGACATGAGAATCACTGACATGCTACAACCGATGTGGTCTTCGAAATATCACTATTCCTTATGTGGGCAACCAGAGCTGATAGGTGGTGCAGTCTGGCAACATCTTGAGGGACACAAGTTGTCAACCCTGAATTCAGCTATTTCCCGCATCAACTTCCTGCATCCTCTAAAGCAATGATTCCCAGCCTTTGGTTCTCCAGATTATTTGGACTTCAGCTCCTATAATTCCTGACTGTCGACCAAGTTGGCTGGGCCTTCTGGGAGCTGAAAGCCAAAACAAATAGAGGACCAAAGGTTGGGAACCACTGTCTTAAATCATAGTACAGATTTGACCATTGGATCAGATTAATTAGCAATATTTATCTGTTAGTTTTTTGTTGTTTTCTCTCAGCCTATCAGATTTAAGCTAAATAAATACATTTTTAGGCCTCATATTTGCCAGAGCGCTTGCTTGTTTATTAAGAGCCTGGTCTACATTACCATTAAAATTAGTGACATTAAAAAATGTAGTAGGGCAAGCCAGCTCATATGAAAGCACATGAATGCATTTTACATTTCTCTGCTGAATCAAATGGCAACAAATGAGGTGGAATAAAATCAGACCACTGGGATGCCAGAAAATCAGTAAGTTCATCTAGATGTTAGGGAGGGACAAAGGGGAGACATCAATGCAACATCTCTGGCTTTTCATAAGGACTGAGTGTGCTTGTTGAGCACAGTTTACTGAATGATTCTTGGGAGAAAAAAAATGGAAAAATAACAAGGAGAACAGAGTAGAATTTTTTGACAAAGGGTGTGGCTGGCTGGCTGGAATTCTGAACAGGAGCAACCATCACCTCTTTTCTTTTTCTTCTCCTCTGCTGTGGTCTCCTCTTCCTCCAAACTTTGGGCTCAGATTGTCATGGATGTGAGTGGGTCTTTCCAAGCCACCTTGGTCCTTATCACAACAACCCTATAAGGTGATTTATGCAGAGAAAATGAATACCTACTGCCTGTTCTCAGTGAATCTGACGCTTCATTTCTTTCACCAATTCTGTGGGACTCTAGCAGTGCAAATAAATTTCATCTGCTTGTCTAATGAATATCTATGCTGTTACGTGATTACAAGTCATTTCCAATTTATGGCAACCCTAAGGTGAATCTATCATGGGGTTTTCTTGGCATGTTTCTTCAGAAGGAGTTTGCCATTGCGATCCTATGAGGTTGAGAGTGTGTGATTTACCCAGAGGGTTTCAGTGGCTGAACCGGGATTTGAACCTTGGTCTTCAGAGTCATAGTCCAACGTTCACACCACTACACCATCTACAGTCCCTATCAAACCATAGTCTCCCTGAGGTGAATGACAGAACAAGAAGCTCAAATAGCAAAATATACAATAGAGTTAGAGCAAAAAACAAAATTGACAACAGGAAGTGAGGATATCACTTCCTGTTACCCTTTTGAGAAGGACTATGGGGGAAGTGGAATTGTTTAGGCTTCATCGGGGGTGGGGGGTGACCCACAGAAAGGAGGTGAGTAGGGAATTGGCCCTCATTCCCCATACAGTTGCCGACCCCTGGTTTATAAGGAAAGGATTTTGAAAAATTTGCTGTGCTGTTTTTCTTTTATTCTATAGCTTGCTTAATTACCTATATGTGTTTTGTATCTGTACCTGCCCTCGTTTAGGAAGCCACCCTGATTCTGGGTGGGGGATGAATGGAGGAGAGAACTAACTAACAAAATAATACTAGAGCATGTACTTTGTTCAGAATCCTTTTCTGGTCTTAAACTGATGTAATTAGGAGATATTTTAACTTTACTATTTTTTCCAGCATTGTGTAAGGAGGTATCCAGTGCCTCCTTGTGCAATGGCTTTACCTAGGCTGCACAATGGTGGCTTGATCATGTCCACCTGCAGCTCTCTCCTGAAAACCAAAGAGCCATTGATTGGCCAGGGGTGTTTTGGAAAAGCTTTCTTAATCTGTCCCCCAGCTCATCACATTTACCCTTTCAGACCTTCTCTTTTATGTTTAAAAGGATTCGGCAACCTGAAAGTCCTCTGCCTAAATTCCTATCAACAGGCAATAGGAGCCAGTAACTTCCATGCCAGGCCTCTGGTGGATCTACGCTGGGTTTTACTGTGAACTTTAAAAGAACTGTCCAATCTATTTTGGGAATAGAGTCTAACACCTTTAACAACACTTGTAAAATCTGGAATGAAATCCAGAGCAGATTCACTGCTAACTTGGAAGCTATTGACACTCATCCATGGGGGGCTATTGCCAGCTAGATAGCCTTGAGTTTTGAGGAACCAATGGGGCCAACTGGAGCTCTCCTCCCATGAGCCTTATGACCAAGTTATCAGGATCACAGCCAGGGAGGGGAGTGTCAAACATGGGAAAAGACCCACCCTTTCACTGATATTAAATCTTTTTCCAAGATCTGAAAAAAAATCCTGGGAACACATTTAGATGTCATGTACTATTCCAGCCTTGGCACAAGACAGGTGCATATAGAATATATGTGCCTCTGTGTGTCTGGGTCACTGTGTGTATCACCTTAATATCAGGGTTAGGTTGGAGTGTACTGGGAATGACCTTGACTTCTTGCTTTCATTTCTATCAATGGATTTCCCATTCTGAGGAGGACATACAATTGACTTTACATTAATGGTGTTTGTCTTCAACAATGTAGTGGCCGATTTTGAAGTTTAGGCACTCAGAAGAATCCAAAAATACAAGCAGCAATGGGTGCATCTTTACAATGTAGAAATAATGCTGTCTGGCATCGCTTGAACTGCCATGGATCCATCGTACAGAATCTGGGATTTGTAGTTTTGTGAGGCACCAGCACTTTTTGGCTAAAGACCTTATAAAACTACAAATCCCAGGATTCCATAGGATGAAGCTACATCACGTAAAGTATTGTCAAATGGCATTATTTGTACAGTGTAGATGCATCCTATGTTGACCCTATCAACAACCAGTCCTACCAGTTTTCTTCTATACTAAGAAAAAGTCATTCAGAAAGTAAAGTACTGTATTCCCTATTCTTATGATATCCATCTGCATGTTGGTCAGGATCAGAAAGTTCAACATGTAATAGTTTTAGTACTAGTTTCTCTGATTACTCATGTCTTTCTGGGCTCAAGTCAAAGGTGTTTGGCATGTTTAAACCTCCAATGGGGTTGGGACTAAATTACTAAATTACCATAAGATCTTAGCCTTACATTAAGATCTCCTTTGTGGGTCCTTTGTGGGTATGGATGGAAATAACCCATATATATTTTGAATACTTTAGGGCGTTAGAAGAATACAAAGCCTATAATACAGTGTGACTAAGAATGAGCAGACCTTATATGAGCACTGATGATGGCTATTTATGCAGGCTTATGACTGCAATACTTTGTTTTACTAAAATGATAGTGATGGTTTTCTTACTAAGGATTTATAAGTTTGAGAATGTGAACACAGTAGATATAAGGGAGGCACAACCAATGGCACACAACTTTTAGCTCCTGCTTTTTCAGTAGGTGGGTTCTGACACATGATTTTAGTCTCTCCTTGGAATCTATAAGGCTGAAGAAGTGCATATGAACAGTATATCAGGAGTGGAGATACTAAGAACAAAAATGGGAAAAGTTCCTTTTGGGATGACTCCAAGTGTCCCCCAGACAGCTTGGCTGATGTCAGGGGAATTCTGGGAACTGTATCCAAAAAGTAATATTTTCAAGATGCGGTTAGTATATCATAGAGTTCTCACAAGGACTTGAGTGCTGAAACTGAGATCTTCAGAGGAGGCCCTGTTACATGTCCCAACTCCTCATGAAATTAGGTTGGTGGGTACACATCACAGGGCTTTCTTTGTAGCAGCACCTCAACTATGGAACCCCTGTTCAAAGAGGTTAGGCTGGTTCCTTCTCTTTTAAGCTTCCAGCAGGCTTAAATAGTGCAGTTCAGCATGGCATCCAGTGTTTTAAACTGCTGTTTTAATTGTTTTAAAATTGTATTCTAGGATTGTTTTTAGACTGCTTTAATGAGTTTTTAAAGACCATTCTGAAATTTGTAAAAATGTTTTTAATCTTTGTATTGTATTATTTAGTTTTTATTTGTTTATCGCCTCAGGAGCCCTTGGGAGCTTGGAG